GAGATAGCATGTTAAAATGTACCTCCTTTTTTAAACTTTGAAAAAAAAAAAGAATGGGTTTATGTAACACAGCTCCTTACCTAACCAGTACTGATCCTCTGTTGATGATGGTTTTCTGCTTCATTGCATGTTAAATGATGCATGCTTTTTCTCATGAAGCTGTCACAATAACGAATACTTTTATCAACCCAGATGGAGCATGCCAACATGGTAATTGTGTCAAAACCACATGCTTGTCTAATGGGCGGGCTGTTCACAGCAGTGTTCTTTTTGGTTGATGGTAAGTAGAAAGATCATTACTTAATGCATTATATAACTATACTAATGATGGATTTTGGGTAATTATAATTAAATATTAGTCAATGAGCATTGCCAGAATTTGGGAAACCTTAGTTCCAGCTTTGGCTTGCCCATCTGACTTTACCATCTCAGGCAAATCTCCTGGTCTTTTTGATCCTCAGTTTTGTTGTTGATAAAATAAAGTGAGGATATTAGGCTAGATGACTGAACAATACTCACTTAGTAAGTACTTATTAGGTACCTATTATGTGCCAGTCTAGATGCTGGAAACATAGCAGTATATAAAAGAAAGATCCCAGCCCTCATGGAGCTTTCGTTTTAGAGGGAATGTCAGCATTCCACTGCAAGAGTTCTCATTTTCATGGGTGATAGAGTTTAAAGGCTTATCCACATCTGAAAGAAACTCAGGGTTATAGGCATGATAATTAGGGTGAGTGAATGTACTGTAATCATGTTTTCTTGATGGTGGTAATTTGTTCAAGAAACCATTTTATCAACAAAGAAGGTAGTGTTTTGTTTTGAGCTCTGTTGAACTCTTGAAACTGTTTCAAGAATATGTTGAGTAATGATCCAATTAGTCTTTTCCATTGTTTTCTGTCTTGTAACTTCTATTTGGATGGGTGACAATGATCGTCACTTTTGAGGCTCTTAACCCTTGTAGGTGTTGTGAATACAGTGGTGATTGAGGATGACTTTGTGAGGCTTAACCATATGGTTTTGTTGGTGCTCTTCATGTCTGTATTTGTACTTTGTCTTCAGTTTCTGTTGACCGGCTCAGTTGTGATTACATGGTCAAGCAATAACGTTCAAATGGGATTTTCTTTGTGATTTAAATTCATCTATAAATTTCTTACTTTTAAGAGAGAGTATTCTGAATAAATCTGAGAACACATTTTTGTTATTTTATAGTCAGTTTCATTAACTGGCAGGAGCCTTCTTTGAGTACTAGGCCAAGGACTCTGTGGTTGAGCAGGTCATTCACACATAATGGAACTGTGATTGCATTTGAAGTGTGTGTGAGGGAAGGTATACACAGCTGGGTGGTTCTCCATTAGTGGCCTTGGATAAGTGACTTCTGTTTATTATTTGTAAAATAGGGATAATACATACTTTGTAGAATATTTTGAGAAACAGATTATGGGTACTGTGTCAGACAGTAAACAGTAGTGACCCTTATGATTAAAATATAAACAACTATTAATGCTTTTAACATAATACTGGAAACTCAAATTTTATATTTCACTGCTTCTAAAATATTTTGGCCAAAAAGCAGCCTTAGCTGATTGGTTCCCAGACTGTTTCTCACAGCCAAAGTAATTAGAGAGCTGCCAATTTACCTTGGTTAGCTTAGACAAGTATGGGGCATTTTGGTTTTAATTTTACCAGGACATTTATTCAGCTCTTAGAATGTAGCTAGAGAGTATATACTAGAAATATACTTTGGTTATTTCATGATTAAAGTAAATAATACTGTCCACTTAAATGGTACATGGGAAATGGTACGTTAAAGAAGGAAAAAAGGTTTTCTGTGCAATATGGAGCTGGTTTACCTGTCCTCGGGTCTCGTTGGAAGATATACTTTTGAATTTCAAATACCTGAGAATGAGAAGCAGCATAGAATATGTAGGTAGGATAGTTAACTATTCCCTCTTACATAGCATTGCTGTCAAGGATATTACTGTCCCCTGATCTCCCTGCCTCGCTATGTATTTCTCCTGGCCCTCATGCGTTTTCTTCTGCCTGACCTTACATGTTGATGGTGATAAGAGCTCTTTTAAGGATCCTCTAAGTTTAAGCTACCCTTTTTCTCTAGGTGATGTATCTCCTGCTATCACCCATATGCTGACAACGTCCAAACCCTATCTCTAGTGTGTATCTAGTCTCCAATCAAAACCTGCTTGTCTCGGGGTCATCTAGACATCTCCACAACTTCTCAATCATAGTGAATTCAAAATTGAATTATATATGTCAGCCAGACCCACTTTTACAGGTGTTCCCCATTTCCATGAATGTTTCTACCATCGCCCTAGTCTTCCATGACCTGGGCATTTTCCTTGACTCTTTCCTCTCTTTGACTTTCTATATTCAGCCTGGATATCAAGTCATATCCACTCTACTTCTTTACCTTTAGATTAATATCTTGTCCTTTACCCTACCGTTTTCTGCCATAGTAGAGACCATCGTCTTCTCAGGTCTGGATCAACCAGAGATCGGATCAACCCAATCTCCTGGATGTCTTTCTGCTTCAGTTTTTTCTTTCATCCTGTACTTTACAGCCAAGTTGGGCTAAGTGAAATGAGAATCTTATTACATTTCTCCTCTACTTCAAGCACTTATGTAACTTCTCATTGCTTTTCAAATAACCCCCGCATTGCCTTTAAAATAACACAAAATCTTTTATGTTTTGGCTTCTGCCTTCCTTTCTTACTTCATTGTTACCAGTTCAGCTTCCGCCCGTCCTATCTTCACTCATAAGCCCCCACTTCACTTGTACAGAGGATTATTGTTCTGTGCCTGTGGTTTCCTTTTTTATGAGGAATGTTCTCATGTTTCCACACAACTCCCTATGCCTGACACATACCTTCCATTCTGGCTATTTTGTCTGAATAATGAGTACCCAATAAAAAAATAAACTCAGATGTCAACTTCTGCAGAAACGCCTGCCTGGTGACCCTTTTCTTCTCCTAACCTGGTGGGTTAAGTCCTTTGCTGCTTGTTGTTGTTGTCGTCGTTATTGTTGTTGTTGTTGTTGTTGTTGTTTTGAGACAGGATCTCGCTCTGTTGTCTAGGCTGGAGTGCAGTGACACAATCTTGGCTCACTGCAACCTCTGCCTCCCGGGTCAAACAATTCTCCTGCCTCAGCCTCCCAAGTAGCTGGGATTACAGAGACGTGCCACCACGCTCGGCTAATTTTTGTATTTTTAGTAGAGATGGGATTTTGCCATGTTCAAGCCAGGATGGTCTCGAACTCCTGACCTCAAGTGGTCCACCCTCCTCAGCCTCCCAAAGTGCTGGGATTATAGGCATGAGCCACCGCACCTGGCCTAGTCCTGTGCTTTTTGTGCAACATGCTATTGACTTATCTATGCTTATTTGTAGCCCTCACTCCCTTAGCTCCTCAAAGGTTGTCTTTATTCATGTGCCTATGGCTTACCACATCATAGAAGCCATTAAATATAGGCAAATTGACTTGACTATTTTTGTGGTTGCATATTAGATGTGAAAAACATTTTTAAGTTATTTTTATTGAGAAAATTAACATATCACAAAATTCACCCTTTTAAAGTGGCTGGTTTTGGATATATTCATAAGGTTGCCGGGGGTGAGGGGGAATGCAGAGTGACTACTAATGGGCACAGGATTTCTTTCTGGAGTGATGAAAATGCTCTAGAATTAGTGATGATGGTTGCACAACCTTGTGAGTATACTCAAAATCACTAACTGTATACTTTAAGAGGGTGAAATTTATGGTACATGAATTATGTCTTAATAAAGCTTTAAAACAAGTGTACTTTTTTTTGACTTATTCAAGTTTGTACCACTTAAAAAGTTAAGAAAAAAATTTTTTAAGACTTAGGGTCTCACTCTGTTTCTCAGGCTGGCCTCAGACTCTGGGCTCAAGCATGTTTCTTGTCTCAGACTCCCAAGTAGCTGGGACTACTAGAATACACCATGTCCGTCTCTAAGGTTTTATCACCTTTGAAGATAGCTGGGACACTGCTCGTTGTCCAGGGTGCCAGGACTCTGGGCACTTATTATTGGCAAGGGAGGGGAGAGTGAATGTGATCAGCTGTCTCTGCAGGCCCTGCCTGTTGTCCTTTATGTCATCATGCTGCAACACTTTAAAAGTCCCTCTTTGCTTATGTAAAATTTAGTTATTTTCAGAATTAATTTAAATTTTGTTCTAATTTAGTTATGATAAGAGCAATCGTCGGATGCATTTTTTCCACCTCATAATGTCTTCATTTGGTATGGATTATGGCCCTTAGGTATTTTTCTTATATATACAAAGAAAAGTGTGATTACGGTTGGGTGGGATGGAGGTTTGGGGTTTTGATTAGAATTTGAGTACCTTTTCCAGAAGATTTAACTTTTGCATTGGAACATTGATGGTGAATTACGGGATTTAATATTGGAACACAGAATAATATGTTTTTGTTCCAGATTTTACCTTCTTGATGTTACACACCATACACTTAAAATTGGTTTTTCTAATATCTAGCACTTTGATAGATTTTGGGTTTAATGTATGAAATTGTAGTGAAATGTGTCTCATTGCTTACTAGCACTGTTGATAATGTTTTCATGTTACAGAATAAAGAATACCAAGTACAGATAAAAATACTTTTTCTTAAAAAAATTGGATTTTAAAAATCAATTATTGTTTATAACAAGTTGAAAGCAAATAAAATCAATCCCTGTTTCTTGAGTTCTTGATGATTTTATAACTATATAGAACTTAGAACACACAGAGTTCTATTGTGATGCTAGTTTTGGGTCTGTGATTCTGATAGAGAATTCTAAAAGTTAGAGCAACAGTCTCCATTTTGTCTTAGGCTTTTCAGTCTTCTTTCTTGATGTGCTTTCTCCCAGTTATCTGTTACTCCCCTTCCCATCTTTCCTTATCATGCCCCTTGCAACCAAACTGAATTTGAGAGAACTTATAAAATGACATTTTGTGATTTTTGTTTTGATTACAGCATAAGCTGTGACCATGACTACTGAAGTAGGCTCTGCGTCTGAAGTGAAGAAGGACTCTGGCCAGTTAGGAACAGATGCAACCAAGGAAAAGCCTAAAGAAGTAGCAGAAAATCAGCAGAATCAGTCATCCGATCTAGAGGAGGAAAAAGGTTCCCAGCCAGCTCCTGCAGCTGAAAGCCAAAGTAGTCTACGCCGCCAGAAGAGAGAGAAGGAAACATCTGAGAGCAGGGGTATTTCTCGGTTCTTACCGCCATGGCTTAAGAAGCAAAAGTCATATACCTTAGTAGTGGCCAAAGATGGAGGAGATAAAAAAGAACCCACCCAAGCTGTTGTTGAAGAACAGGTCTTAGATAAAGAGGAACCCCTTCCGGAAGAACAGAGACAGGATAAGGGTGATGCTGAAGAAATGGCTCAGAAGAAACAACAAGAGATTAAGGTTGAAGTCAAGGAAGAAAAACCCTCAGTGAGCAAAGTGGAGACGCAGGTATGTTTGGGAATAATTGCCTGGAAATGAAAACCTGATAGCGTAACCACATAACAAAAAGGGTTTGTTTTGGATCATTTCCAGATTTATTGTACTGAGATACTGCTTTGGCTTAATGTATACGGAATGGGTCTTAGATTGGTCTACCATAGCCTTTCCCTGTTACTCCTTGAAAAAAAACTCCACTATATATGCACATTGCTAAAAAATTCGTGTCTGTAACCTGTTAAGGTGAGATAGATACTCTGAGCCCTGCCATCTGTTTTTTAAACAGAATGCTCTTTTATGCCTCTTTTAAGTTTTCACCGGACAGTAAATAGTAGATTTGTGTGTGCGCATTTTGGTTGCCTAACAAAGCCTAGATTTTGCCATGGTATACGATTTTAATTGGAAATGTTATTATTGGAGATGATACTTAAATTGTAGTTGCTGGGATGTAGTTTCTTTGATTCATTTAATGCTACATAACCAACTTGGCAAAATGAGAATTTTGACCATGAGAAGAGGATGAGGGGAAATATACTTTCTATTGGAATTTTCAAGTCTTTAAAAATCTGAGAGTTACAGTGTTTAAAGTAACGATCCTGATTCTTATGAAACATTTTCCTTTTAATATGTTGTCATCTGCAAGTTGGTTGACTATAGTATCAATTTAATTTTTTTTCCTCAACAGCCTACTGAATTAGTAAGTAAGGAGAGAGAAGAGAAGGTAAAGGAAACACAGGAAGACAAATTTGAAGGAGAAGCAGCAAAGAGGGAGACGAAGGAAGTGCAGACCAATGAACTGAAAGCAGAGAAGGCATCTCAAAAAGTCACCAAGAAGACCAAAACTGTCCAGTGTAAAGTGACCCTCTTAGATGGCACCGAATACAGCTGTGACCTGGAGGTGAGATAAGGAGCTGAGTGAGAGCTAGCTTAATGTGTGGATTGTGACATGGCATGATGAATAGATTTTTGTGTTTTACTAAGTTCCTATAAGCCAGTTTATTACAGTTTTGTACTAAAAAAAAAAATACATTGAAGTGGGTCATCATTTCTGTCACAAACAATATTTCATGACCTTAGGTTAAGCAGGGATGCTATTCTGCCAGTCTGCACTAGTCATGTTTACTGGTTGGTGTGTATTCTGAATGGGTGTTAAATATTTGGAATATTGCTTTTGGCTAGAAGATGTTTTTCTTGAGGGAAAATGATAGCACTAGGCTGACATTTCGGAATAAAGAAGTTTCAGCAGTAAACTTAGCCCCAAGTGTTTTATCCTGAGACAGATACTGGCTTAACATCTAATTAATTTAGTTTCATTTAATTAAAAACCACCGGTGATTTGCAAAACATACAATTAGTGCTGTTGCTGACAGAAGTCAGTTTAATCTTTTAATGCATCTAGTAACTTATAATTTTATATCCATCAGAAGAGTTTGTTGCTTTCCACAAATTATTTACGTAACATATACTGATAGCTAATGTTTACTGAAGAACTGTGTGAAGTGCTTTGAACGGATTATCTTGTTTAATGGATTATCTTGTTTTGTTGATTAAGAATCGATAAAGGTAGATATTATCATTGCTATTTTCAGTGTTACATGTTACAGTGGGGAACTTAAGGCTTAGAGAAGTTAAATTCCTTGCCCAAAGTTTCACAGCTGGTTAGAGGTTGAACAAGGATTCCACCCCCTGAAGTTTGGTTCTAGAGCTCACGAACCTCACCACAGAACTAACTATGCTGTTTGGTCTGATACATGTGGGACCTATCTTGCCTGTTTCTTTTGTGTCCTCATCTATTAAATATTAGACACATTTTCCCCTAATTCGTTGCATTCTTATTAAAAAGAGAAGTTACACTGCAATAAAAATGAAAGTATTCAGCTTCGTAAAGACACTTAGGTCTATCTAGTTGAACAGTAGTTTATTATATATTTGAATGTGTATTATATTGCAAAGTGCTGAGGGTACTAATATGAATAATTCTTGATTCTTGCTCTTTGTATTAGTTACCTATAATTTTATTTTACTCATTTTAGTTATAATTTTTCTGATTTCAATTGTTTAAAGAAAAGTAGTAGCAAAAGAGGATTAAAAATCCTTATCTTAGTTTTTGCTGTTGTAACAAAATACCTTCAATTGGGTAATTTAAAAACAACATGAATTTATTGCCCACAGCTCTGGAGGCTGGGAAGTCCCAGATCAGTACACCAGAAAATTTGGTGTCTGGTGAGGAGCTTGCTCTCTGCTTCCAGGATGGCCCCTCCTTTCTGGATCTTTACATGGTGGATAGGGCAAGTGCTGTGTCCTCACCTGACAGAAGGACAAGGCAGCTCCCTTCAGCCTCAGTTACAAGAGCACTACCCCCATTCATGAAGGCAGAGTGATTAAGTCACTTCCTAAAGACACCACCTCTTAATGCCACCACCATAGGGATTAGGTTTCAGCGTGAATTGTGGAGGAATGCATTGAGACCATGGCAGTCCTTAAAGCTTTCTTTTCTTTTGCTCTTTTTAACACTTCCCTTTGTCCTTTCCTGAGACTCCCTCTCTATGCCAGGGAGAGAGGAGAAGTCTTAGGGATAGGAGTGAGAGACCATAAAGACAGGGACAGAATGGTTTTCTGAACTTGACTCAATTACATTATATTTGATTGCATGTCCCTTGTCTTTCCTACCTATCCTGGAAATTAGGGGATGTAGATTTTTGAGAACCAACTTGATGTTATGTAACCTTGAGTCATTTACTCAACCTCTGTAGACCTCAGTTTCTTCATATATAGAATATAGGATTGCTTAGATCATCTAGAATGCCTTTTCATTTCTAAAGTTCTTTATGTCACTAAACCACAAGACTCACCAACATACTTTATGGTTTAAATCTATCTTTGTTCTCTTTTTTAAAAAATCATAAAACGTTTAAAAAACTACAAAAATATAAAAATAATAGAGGAGACAGTTGTGTATCCAGCACAAAAATTTCAATCAGTTTTGCCATTTGTTTTAGATTTTTTTTTTTTTTTTTTTTTTGAGATGGAGTCTCACTCTTTTTCCAGGCAGGAGTGCAGTGGTGGAATCTCAGCTCACTGCAGCCTCTGACTTTCTCATTCAAACAGTTCTCCTGCCTCAGCCTCCCAAGTAGCTGGGATTACAGGCATGAGCCACTACACCCAGCTAGTTTTTGTATTTTTAGTCAAGACAGGGTTCCACCATGTTGGCCAGGATGGTCTCTATCTCCTGACCTCATGATCCGCCTGCCTTGGCCTCCCAAGTGCTGGAATTACAGTGTTTTAGATCTTTAACAAAATAGAACATTAAAGACATTGCCAAAGTCTCATTCTCATCTTTTCCTTCTTGTCCTGCATGTATCTTTTTATGATATATAAATCTATTCATTTAAATTGTTGTATCGTATTTCTTTGACTAAACTAGTTTATTCCCCTCCTAAGTCACAGTTTCTTTGTATACTGTAAGAAGTAGTTCTTCAGTGAACACTTTAAGACATGTTTCCTTGTGTAAGAGTTTCTTGAGGGTAGATACCTAGTGGTGGAATTGTTAGATTGATGGAATCCAGTTTTACTTCTTCAGTTTCCCCAGATATTGCCAAAGTAATAAATGAAATTGATAAAATTTACAATTTACATTTCAACCAGCAACCATTAAGTTTGATTTTGCCATATTGTCATCAGTGATTCTTGTTATCAGACTTATTAATTTGGACCAATCAAATGTATGTGAAATAGCTTGTCTGTATTTTAACTTGCATTTGTTTGATCACTGTCAGCTTTCACTAGGTTATGTTGCAGTAACCAAAAAACCTCAAATCTTCATGACTTTTAATAAAAATGGTTTATTTCTTGCTCATGTTACATGTGCTTGGTGGGTTTGTTACGGCTTTTTTCCATATCATCTTTATTTCTGATCAAGACTGAAAGAATAGCCTCTACGTGGGACATGCTGGTTTCATGATAAAGGGAAAAGAAAACACAGCAAAACCACACTACAGTTCTTGAATCTTCTGCTTGGAAGTGGTATATATTACTTTAACTCACATTTCATTGGCCAATTAAGTCTCATGGCCAAGGCTGATAACAATAAGTGGGCAAATATGATCCTCTCATGGGAAGGATACTCAAAACCATGAAAACAGTACTACAGCTCATATTAGCCTGGTGCAAAAGTAATTGCAGTTTTTGCCATTAAAATTAATGAGGCTGGGCACGGTGGGTCATGTCTGTAATCCCAGCACTCTGGGAGGCTGAGGCAGGCAGATCACGTGAGGTCAGGGGTTCGAGACCAGCCTGACAAACATGGTGAGACCCCATCTTTACCAAAAATACAATTAGCCGGGCGTGGCGGTGGGTGCCTATAATCTGAGCTACTCAGGAGGCTGAGGCAGGAGAATCACTTGAACCCAGGAGGCAGAGGTTGCAGTGAGCTGAGGTTGTGCCACTGCACTTCAGCTTGGGCAACAGAGTGAGACTCTTGTTTTTTTTAAAAAAAAAAAAAAAGGCTGAGCATCTTGAGCACCCCCTTTTTTTTTTTTTTTTAAGACGATTGCTCTGTCACCCAGGCTGGAGTACAGCGGCGTGATCTCGGCTTACTGCAACCTCCACCTTCTGGGTTCAAGCAATTTTCCTGCCTCAGCCTCCCAAGTAGCTGGGATTACAGACGCATGCCACCATGCCCATCTAATTTTGTATTTTTGGTAGAGACGGGGTTTCACCATGTTGGCCATGCTGGTCTCGAACTCCTCACCATCTTTTTATGTTTTATTTAGGTTTATATGATCACTCTGAAAGTTTTAAAAATAAATATTATTTCTCAGATTAAGGACTTTCTCCCCTCATTTCTAAGACTTACTCATGAGTAGGTGGTGAATTTTATCAAATGTATTTTTTGCATCAACTAAGAGGATCATCTATTTTTCTAACCCGCTAATGTTGTAAACTACATTATTTTCTACTGTTAAACCATCTGAATTTCTAGTGTAAACTTGGTAGTGATGATTCTGCATTCATTTGTATTATTTTTGTTTAGGACTTTTGCATATATTACCTTTAATTTTCTTTTATCAAATTGTCTTCATCAGATTTTGTTATCTGGGTTGTATTCTATCCTCATAAAGTTGCTTCCCTTTTACCATTACCTAGAAAAGCTTGGATAAATTACTGATGGTCTGTCTTTTGGTGATCTGGTAGAACTTGCCTTTAGAACTGTCTTGGATGGTAGGTAGCCTTTTTGGGAGAAGAGTGGAAGTGGAAGGTTGTTTTTGTTTTTTTAAATCGTTGATTCAAATTTTTAAATTTTTTTCCCGAGTTAGTTACAGCAATTAATATTTTTGGTAGAGATTGTCCATTTCATCTAATTTGAAAAATTTATTGGCATGAAAGTTTTCATAGTATTCTTGCTTTGTGCATTTGATTTTTATTTCTTATTTCTAGTGTTGTTTGCATTTTAAAAATTATTCTTACTATAGATTTGCCATTATATGTTTTTTCCCAAAGGAAACAACTTGGTTTTATCATTTCTATTGTATCTTTTCTATTTGGTAACATTTCATCTCGTTTTGCTCTTTTTCTTTGGGATAACTGTTCTTTTTCTAATTTCTTGAGTTTAACACTTAAAACATTGTTTTCGGGGCTCTAATTTTCCCTTGAAGTACCTCTGATTGATTGTACAAATTTGAAATACAGTTGACCCTTGGACAAGGTGAGAGTTAGGGGTACCAGCTTTCTGCACAGTTGAAATTTTGCATATAACACTCGACTGCCCCCACATGTAACTACTAATAATCAGTTTCCTGTTGCCTGGAGCCTTTCCAATAACTTAAACAGTCAATACAATTTTGTGTGTTGTATGTATTATATACTGTATTCTTACAATAAGGTAGAGAAAAGATGTTC